GGGGCGGCGAGATCGCCTTGCATGTCCCCTGGATCCCAATACCATCGACCACAGAAAACTCCCGAATTCCTGTCATGCTGCTGTTCGTCATGGCATGCGCACTGTCCGAAAACATCTCTGCACCAACAGGTCCTGGCGAACCCGTCCAGGAAGACGCCCAGTCAACCGCCCCCGTCCAGGACGGCGCGAGAGATCCTTGCGGCGATGACGGGGGCTGCCCGTGCAAACGACAATCATCATGCTGCGGGTCTGCAGCTGGCTCACTCAAATCTCGAAACCTGTCGCGCGCGTCAATGTGATCAACCAGGTGCCTGCCAACTGCATCTACCGGCGTGTTTCGGCAGACGTAACTTTCCTTGCCGCCTGAACCAGTTGCGGCAGTTGATCTTCGCCCTGGCTTGCCCATCGCATGGTGCATGGCGGATGTTCTCGGCCGCCGTCGACAAGCCTCGTCAACTTAGATGCCCTCCTGGCGCGCGCCCTGCTCCAGAGTGCCCTAGAAGGCCGGATGGGTCAGAAAGCTCACGATGCACGGCATGCACACTTCCAACCAGTCATTCCGTCCGACTCGGGCGACGGCGTCCTCGACAAGCTCGCGCAGAGCCTCAAGTGCGGCGGGCAGAAGCTTGGGCTGGGGCGCAGGGCCACCTCGGAGGAAGTGCGCAATACCCTGGCGGTTGCTCATTCCGGGCCGGCGCGACGGCGGGCGGCCATGCGCGGCGGCGGGCGCTTGACAGCTCACCCCGACACGAAGCTGCTGGACGAGGTGCCGGTGATCCTGTACTCCGCTCTTGGGACCGCCGCGGCAGGCTCCCAGGCGGACGTCGTGGGCGGCAACGGCGAGGAGCCCATCGCTGGCTCGTGGCACCAACCGCCAGAAGGCGCGGCAGGCGAAGCTGGCGGAGAAGTCGGACAGCGATGCCCAACAGCTGGCTGCGCGCGCTAAGGACATGCGCCTGGAGTGCGAGTCTGCCAGAGCCCATGTGGAGGTGCTGAAGGGCACGCTGGCGGCGGAGGCCGAGCTCAGCGCGGAGCTTGGAACGCGGCTGGCGGGGCGCCAGCAGTCCCTCCAGGCCGCGCGCGGGTCTGAAGGCCATCGCGCTGCGGCCGCTAAGCGCTCGGGCGAAGTCAAGTTCGCGGCTCAGCAATTGCTGATCGAGGCGCAGTGCAAGGGCAAGCGGGCGAGCATCACCGAATCCATGCTGAATTTGTGCACCGCAAATCTTGCGAAGCCCCTCGACTCGAAGTACGGCAAGGAGACGGCTGCCAACTATGTGGTCGAGAAGACTGTCAGTGCCGCCGAGGCGGCATGGCACGAATCTCAGTTGCCGCTTGGCCTAGCTGATGAGTTTACGTTCATCGGCGCACCTGTCATTCTCCACATCCTTCGAAGCGCACGTTCTCGCATGGGCGCGCCACATCTTGAAAACGTGTGACTGGCACTGCTGATGTGATTGTCGGGCGTCGGCGCACCTGTCTTTCTCCACATCCATCGTGCTCGACACTCTCTTAGTTTGCAATGCATATTGGTGATATTATATTGGCATGAAGCGAGAGCGCGTGATCCACCGCCGCTTTCCTGTGGAAAAAAACCCCCCTCTTCCTCCAGAACCCGGGGTTCCCCCCCCTTCTGAAAATCCCCTCCCCCTGCTGGACCTCCCCCACCCCCTTCCCCCCGCAAAACACCCCCCCTCCCTTAACCCCCCCCCCTCCCCCCTAGGGCTCCGGAAAACCGGGGGGGGATCACTACCGGTTCGACCCCTCTCCGGAAAACCGAGGGGGGTCACCACAGGTTCGAACCCCTCCCCCCCCTAGAAAACCAAAGAAGGGTCACTACCCGTTCGAACCCCGCCCCCCCCTCCGGAAAACCGGGGGGGGTCATTACCAGTTCGGACCCCCCCACCCTCGAAAACGGGGGGGGGGCACTACCGGTTCGAACCCCTCCCCCCCCATACTCACCGCCAGCAAACAACTCTGGGTCCCTACCACCGTCCGCACCACATCCCCCACTGCTGTCCCCCGCACCAATGTCCTCACCACCACTGCCCCCACTGTTCCCACCACCGTCACCACTGTCATCACCAATGCCCCCACCACTGTCGCACTGTCCCCACTGTCCCCACCACTGTTCCCACCACGGCGGTTCTACTCCCCACTTTCTGCACGTCCCGAACCACTGTCCCACTGTCCCCACTGTCCCACTGTCCCCGCCGCTGTCCCACTGAGCTGTCCCACTGTTCCCACCACTGTCCCCACTGTCCCCACCACTGTCCCTACTGTACCTCTGTCTCATTATCCCACCGCCGTCCTCGCCACCGTGCTCGCCACTGTCGCCACCACCACTCTACCCTCCACTGTCCCACTGTTTGCACCACATTCCCACTGTCCCCACACCACTGTCCTCACCACCACCGTCCCCACCACTGTCCCACTGCCCCCACTGTTCCCACCATTGGCCCCCCTCCAGAAAACCGAAGGGGTCACTACCGGTTCGAACCCCCCCTACCTCGAAAACCGGGGGGTGGGGTCACTACCGGTTCGATACCCGCCCCCTTCCCCCTCGAAAACTGGGCGGGGTCACTACCTGTTACCTGTTCGAACCCCCCCCCCCTCGAAAACCGGGGGGGGTCACTACCGGCTCGAACCCCCCCCCCCTCGAAAACTGGGGGGGGGCACTACTGGTTCGAACCCTTCCCACCCACCCCTACGCTGACCGCCAGCAAACAACTCTGGGTCCCTACCACCGTCCGCACCACATCCCCCACTGCTGTCCCCCAGCATCAATGCCCTCACCACCACTGTCCCCACTGTTCCCACCACCGTTACCACTGTCCTCACCAGTGCCCCCACCACTGTCGCACTGTCCCCGCTGTCCCCACCACTGTTCCCACCACGGTTCCACTCCCCACTTCCCATTATCCCACCGCCGTCCTCGCCACCGCCCTCACCACTGTCGCCACCACCACTATACCCTCCGCTGTCCCACTGTTTCCACCACGTTCCCACTGTCCCCACACCACTGTCCTCACCACCACCGTCCCCACCACTGTCCCACTGTCGCCACTGTTCCCACCATGGGCCCCGCTGTCCCACCAGTGCACCCACCAGTGTCTCACTGTCCCCACTCTCCCCGCCACTGTCCCACCACAGTCCCGCTCTCCCCACTTTCCCCACGGGCCCCACCGCTGTCCCACTGTCGCCACTGCTCCCACCCCTGTCCCTCTGTCCCCGCCGCTGTCCGACTGTGCTGTCCCACCGTCCCCACTGTGCCCATCACTGTCCCACTGTCCCCACTGTCCCCACCACTTTCCCCACTGTACTACTGTCCCACCACTGTCCTCACCACCGCCTTCACCACTGTCCCCACCACTGCCGCCCCCACCACTGTCCCACTGTCCCCACCACTGTCCCGCTGTCCCCTCGCCGCTGTCCCCACCACCACCGTCCCCACCACTGTCCGCACCACTGTCCCACTGTCCCCGCACCACTGTCCCCACCACCACCGTTCCCACCACTGTCCCAACATCCCCACCATTCTCCAACTGTCCCGAGGAGCGGGCACCGTTTGCCGGCGGCGAGGGGAGGGGGGGGGGGTTCGACCCGGTAGTGATTCCCCCCCGGTTTTCGAAGGGGGGGGGTTCGAACCGGTATACTGGCACACCCCAGTTTTCGAGGGGTTCGAACCGGTAGTGACCCCCCTCCTTTTCATGATGGACTGATGGGGGGGGGTTCGAACTGGTAGTGACCCCCCCCGGTTTTCGAGGGAGGGGGAGGGGACGGGTTAGGAACCCCCAGTGACCCCCCCCCCCCGTTTTCCGCCAGCAGCGGTAGAACACGCTCTTTCGCTGACGTTGTTCTGAGTGTCGGCACAATTGTCTTTCATAATTTCCTTCGGGCTGCTTCTTCAGCTGCATGTCGCTTCGTTGGCAGTGGAGGTGAGGCATCCATGTTAGCCAGGAGTCCACTTCGAGGGTGGCGGCTCCATTCGGCCGATTTGGCCGCCCACTGTTCCTTCTCTCCGTCATCCAACTGGCTCTCGCCTGTCGGTCGGTCGCTCGCTCCCTCCTCCTCCTCCTCCTCCTCCTCCTCCTCCTCCTCCTCCTCCTCCTCCTCCACCATTCCCGTCCTCCCACTGGGCAATCCGCCCTCCTCATGCTCTTCCTACCTCCTCGCAGCGTCCCTCCTCCTCCTCCTCCTCCTCCTCCTCCTCCTCCTTCTCCTCCAGGCGCGCGGGCGCGCGCGCGGGCAGCCAGGGGGCCCTCGGGACTCCCAGCCCGAGCGATGAGAACTCCAGGGGCTGATCGGAAGCGGGGGCCACCGGGGTCAACGTCCGTGGAGAGGCGGGGAATGATGGAGCCAAGCCCAACCCCTCGCGGCACATCAATGGACCCTTTCTCTGTCGAAGGGCCACCGCAAGACCAGAGAGGCAAAGAGAGCGGATGTCGGTGGCCCTGGAAACGACAAAACAATGAAGTTTACCGTGCTGGTGTGTCCGTTATGCTTGATTCGTGTGTCCAACACCGTTCTTGTCACGTGTCTGGCTCCTTGGTTTTGCCTTTCCCGTTTCCCCTGCTGGGGGCCTTGGTGCCGTGTCCAGATCACTATCTCCTTACAAGACCCGAACCGTTTCGGTGAAGCGTCGCTCTTCCCGTGATCAAGAAGCACGCCTTTGCTATCTGAAAACTGCTTTAAACAGAACTGCCCGGATGCTTCCAGGGCTCACTGAGGCACTGTTAAAGGCAAGCACATCTGAACAACATGACCATGGAACCGAACTGCGCAGGGTGGAGGACGAGCCCCGCCATCGCTCGGACGTCCATTCCATGTGCTTCTTTTGATTTCGTGCGTGGTTTTTTCTCCAAGTGATCAAGGATGCTCCTCGATGGTCCTCGCCGAAGGAAAAATGCACACGTCCGAGCGATGGCAAGTGGGCCTCGGCCAGGCCCCGCGCCCAGCCCCCCAGCGGCTCCTGCTGGCGTCGCCGTGGCTGCCCGTCACGATCACGCGCAGCGTGGCGCACTCGGCGAACGCTGCCGCGTGCCACCCGCTCGCCCGCGCCCGGCGGGCAGGGCCACGGCGGTCGAGGAGGAGGTCCCGGCCAGCCCTCTGGGCGAGACATAGAAAAAATACCCCCCCAAGAGTACCTCCCGAGTGCTCCAAGACGGTCCAGAACTCGTCCCCCGACTAGTTCTTGATCGGGGATGGATAGACCCCCCTTTTAGTAAAACGTGGTTTAGTGAAAACAACCTGAGGCCCAAACCTGGCGGGCGCAAGCCTGGAAACATCACGGCCACGGCGCCCCCTCGAGAACCGAACACGGACCATTCGCTCATCGACGCGTCACTGTTTTCGGGGGTTCTGCCCACCCCCGACTTGACCACTTTTGGACATCCCCCCTGCAGAGGGCCACTCATCGACGCAACTCTGGGCGCAGGCGGCCGACGGGCAGAGGGCCCGCCGCGCAGGAGCCCGCCTAATTAGGGGGGGGGGGCCCGCCCGCGCGCGTCAGAGGGCGGCCGGTGGGCGCCCCGGCAGGGGGGGCCCGCGCGCGCCCTGCCTCGCGCGTGGCGCCAGAATCGAGGAAAGAGAGAACTGTGCACATGCACCGATGCTGGCCAGGCCCCTCCTGAGCCCAGGATCGGTGCATGCGCCCTCCTACCTTGGCCAGGAATGCATATGCACCGATCTTGGATCCAGGATGGGCCTTCCCAGGATCGGTGCATGTGCACAGTTCTCCTCGCCCGACAGAAGTGCCCCTGACCCAAGGTGCCCCCAGGATTCTCGCGCTGGCCCCGATGGCCTCCAGAGCACCTCTCGCGAGGCCCAGGAGGGCCCCAGAGGGCGCCGGAATGGAGCGAAGAGCAGGGGGGCACCCTTGGGCCAGGGGCACTTCTGGCAGCAGCCGGCTGCTGTGAGAGCTGTGGTTCGCCAGCGACGTCCGGCTGGCAGGCAGGGGTAGGTGGTGGTCTTGGTATCTTGGGCATCCTTGGGCGAGAGAAGCCCGTTGACGCTCAGATGCGCACGCACACTTGGTAACACTAGGGCCCAGGGCGCTGAGCATCCGAGGCCCCGCCCACCGTGAGCAGAGCGGTGGGGAGCCCACCCGTTTGCACTGCTGAAGACATTTGCGATCACATTCAGCATTTGAGCAGGGTGTGCATCATGTTTGGGGGTGGGGGGGAGGGATGGCGCGCGAGGGGAGGGAGGAAACGACAGGGGCCCCACGCCCGACGACACAGCCACCTGACTCCGCGGCTTGCGCGGGCCGCCAGCGCAGCACGTCGCGTTGGAGACGAGGGCGCGCACGCGCGACACTGCGCGGGCAGCTCCCGCGCGACTGTCGGCACAGCCGGCCACGTCTCTGCCGTCGCCCAAGTGGTTTGAGGAATCGGGGGCGGCTGAGAGGGGGGCGTCCAAGGCCGGGGGGGCACAGATCATGGCTGGCGGCACGTGCGCGGACCAAGGGGGGGCCAGAGGCGTAATGAATTAAGAAGAGGCGCCGTGAAATCTGAGGAAATATCATGGCCCACGCCATGATGTCCACCCCCCCTGGTCATCACCCACCCCCCTCGTGGCCGCCCCCGAAGGAATCAGCTCTTCCGCCCTCCTTCTTCCCCTTCGAACCTTCGGGGAGAGGTGGACCTGACCTCTCCCCCATGCCCCCTCTCCCGTGGTCTGGACGGGCCCCGTCGTGAGGGGCCAGAGCGTCCACGAGGGCTCCAGGGAGCCACAGGTAGCCCAATATGGCCTCTCATAGCACACAGCATGGCCCAATAGATGGCTCAACATGACTCCCCAAAAGGGGCCACCATGGCCGTCCCAGGACGGCCCCGAATGCACCAGAAGGCCAACATCCGCCCAAAAAACCGATCCGTTTCGCTGTTCTACCTGTTCTGTTTTCTGTCACGTTCGCTTCCGATGAGCTCGTGAGGCCTCAAGATGGCTCCCAGATTGCCAAAGAGAGCCCCGAGAGGGCCCCTAAGATGACCTTGTTCGGCCCCTGACGTGGGACTACCATAGAAGCCGCCCTCTTTGTGTAAGCGGTAGCCTCCCAGAACCCCAAGAGAGACCCAACGGCCTCCAAAATGGCCCCGAGAGGGCCGCACGATGGCGCAAGTCCCACCAGCCCTTTGGGCTTAAGTGGCCATCTTCCTCAAGCCTCTTCCCTTCGGGGAGGGGTACCCTGCCCATCCCCTCCCTGAGTCATTGCTTTGGGCGGGGGGGGTCGCGAGGTGTTAAACAGTCCTTTTTCGCCCAAGATGGCCCAAGCGGGCGTCCGATGCTCCAAGATGGCCTCCAAGATGGCTCAAGATAGCCGAAGATGGCTCAAGACAGCTTCAGACATACCTCCAAGAGGCCTGACGAGGGCCACAACACGATTCTAAGTGCTATAAAGCCCCCATCGGACCCCCCAAAGAGGCCAACACTCTTCAACGACCAAAGGAAATCAATGGTTGTTGCCTTCTCGCCCTGTGGCTTCCGATTGGCTTCTGATGCCTCGAGATGGCCCCAAAATGGCCCAAGAAAGCCCCAAGATGGGCCCAGGAGGCCCCCGAAACGGCCCCAAGAGCGCCCAAGATCAGCCCAAAAGCGCCCAGATGTTGATGGACCTAGAGGGGGAGGCAAATCGGGGGGCCTTCCTTTTTTGATCGACGCCCTACAACCCAAAAGGCCTCAAAGGGCCCCAGGAGGGCCCCCAGGAGGGCCCAAAGAGAGCCCCAAGAGGATTCCCCCAAACCCCCTGGCAGTGTCCCATTTGGATCCCAGGGCCTTCCAAAAGAGCCTTCAAAGGGCCCTCAGAGAACCCAAAGCAAACCCCAAGAGGGCCCCAAGAGTGGCCCAAGAAGATCCCAATATGTTCTAACGAGATATTGCCCTCGTTGTCCTCCTCCTTCTCCTCCTGCCTTCGATGCTCCAAAACGACCTCCAAAATGGCTGAACACGCTCGTCCCCCCCCTTTCCATGCCCGCGTTGTTTCACTATACATGTCTCTTCCTCCTGTTTCCCGACAGCTCTCATGAGCCACGCTTCTGATCGGGTTGGTGGGGATACGCGAGGGGTGACGAATAAGCTGCGAAGAGCTCCCATATCGACAGATCGGACAATGCATGTATAATTTAATCCTGGGCCTGCTCGGGCCGATCCCAACGTTCGGTGCGAGAACTGCCCCCCCTCTTTGCTCCATTGCGTACTCCGACGCTTCCCTCATCAATGCTACCCGCCTGGGCAAAGTTGCCGGATGGGCTAATGGGGATACTTGTTTGGTCGGCGGCCGCGCGACCACTGCCTGGCGGCAACAAGCGATGTCCGGGACTACGGATCATTCTAATTGCGCGCCAAGCGTGCGGTGCACATGCACTGAGCAAAATGCTCCGCATTCGAGAGGCAGACGCACATAGGCGCCGGCCACACCGGAGTGAACAAGCGGCCAGCAGTGCGAGTGCAACGGAGGAAGTCGCCCTGGCGGCGCCAAGCTCCGAGCTGCTCCCCATGCCGACAGCAGGCAGTGGAAAACGGGACCAACGGCGCTGAAGGCTGAACCACTCAACGCGAAGTCCACGGACACAACAGCCGGACGAGGGGTCGGCGGGGAAAACAGAGGCAGAGGAACGGCAGGTAACTACTGAGCACTCACTCCACGAACCACACCGCTGCTCTGGGGAGGGGGCCGGCGTGACGGTCATCGTATCCGAAACCAGTGACTGGCCGGGGCTGCAACGATGAGAAGGGACTCACTCTGGCCCAAGAACTAATGGGGATACGCGAAGCGTCAAGGCTTCCCTGCGTCGAGGACTTCCTGTGCCCCACGATGCGCAGCGGTCGAGGAGGCGGGAGAGGGAGAGGAGGGATGGGGAAGATACGAGGTGGGAGGGGGAAAAGGAAGAAGAATAAGAAGAAAACGAGAGGAGGGGAAGGAAGACGACAGGAAGAGGGGGACAATTAAATCAGGAGGGGGAGCACGCAGAGAAGTAGGACGATCAGCATGGGGAGGGATCCCGCATCCGTATGTCCTCGAGAACAGCTATATGCGTTCAGATACAGGCACACATGCGTGCGCGCCCAGGCTAAACCTCGCTGAGTTCAAACGTAAGTGGCTCTGATATAAACTTCCTCGGACAAGGACGTATGATGTTCACTCGTAAACGTAAGGGGTGCAAGGGGGAGGAGGAGGGAAGGAGTCAGGGAGGAACGATGACGAGCGGGAGCACGGGAATAAGCATGAAAAGGAAGATGCCCATAAGCAGGGAGGATAACGCACACGAGAGTCATGGGAGGATAGACAGGATACGTCCTGCGCGCTACAAATGGAGGCGCAAGCGTGCGTAGACCCGTTGACGGGCGCACGGAATGCGATTCGCAACGGTGGCAATCAAAGCACCATCTGTGGCTCCCTTTCCATGGCACCTTTGTGCAAATTGGCACTGCCTTGCTTACGTCCTCCCCTCTCCACCTCCTCCTCGTCCTCAACAGTTACTCAATATGAATATACTCTCCCTCTTCCCCTGATGGCGTCCGGGTGATGGCCGCGCACCCTCCGCGTACTGTTTTTTACACACAGGATGCCCGGGAAATCCCGGGAAACGACTCTCGCTGAGGCGCCGGCGTCATTTTTTCCCAAAATGCTGCTCTCGTTGAGGCGCCGGCCTCATTTCTGCTCCCGAATCCTTCCCCTGATGGCGTCCGGGTGATGGCCGCGCACCCTCCGCGTACTGTTTTTTTACACACAGGATGCCCGGGAAATCCCGGGAAACGAGTCTCGCTGAGGCGCCGGCGTCATTTTTTCCCAAAATGCTGCTCTCCTTGAGGCGCCGGCCTCATTTCTGCTCCCGAATCGTTCCGAATCGTGCTCCCGCTGCAGCGTGGGCCTCATTTTCGGATCGGTGTTTGGCCTCCGTCGTTCAGGATGGCGTTCTCGCCCCAGCGCGGGCCTTTTTCTCGCGCGCCCATCCGCCCGCCACCACCGCGCCGCACCGCCACCACCACCACCACCACCACCACCACCACCACCACCACCACCACCACCACCACCACCACCACCACCACCACCACCACCACCACCACACCACCACCACCTACCACACCACACCACACCACCCACACCACACCACCACCACGACAACCACGCACACACGCACGCACGCACGCACGTGCACCACCACCCACTACGCACGCGCGCGCGGAGCCACAGGTCCGCTACGACACGCGTCCGCGGATAGAGAAAATCAGCGCCATGGTAAGGGATGGGAGGGAGGGGTAGGACGTCAGATATGACGCGAGCGCACCTAGCTTGCCCTTCCCCCCCTCCCCCATCCCTCCCTCCACCCCTCACTCCTCCGTGCCATCTCACTCGTTGTCGTCATCCTCACTCTTCTTGGTCTCAACGTCCTGCTCCTTCCCTCGCTTGGCTGTATATGAATGAGGATCAACTGCAGATATATACCAAGGAATGAAGGGGGGACAGAAGGGATGACGGATGAGGTATACGTAAACCGAAGGAGGTCGAGGACGAGGAGGGAGAAGGGAGAAACGAAGGATGGAGGAGGGAAACGAGGATGACCAGGTGGGAGGGGCCACTCTCCCCTCAGCCCCAGGCCTGCCTGCCAGATCATTCTCGTTCTCGTTTGCTGCTCGAAGCGGGGCTCGGTACTCCAGGCGATGCGCTTCAGGAGCTACTTGTGTCAGCTGTCGCTGATATTCGAAGGTTCCCCTTTTTGTTCCTCCTCCTTCTCTTCCTCCCTCTGTTTCCTCCCTCCCTCCCTCCCCTCTCTTCCTCCTGCTTTCCCCTAATCCCTGTTGAACCGCCTGAAAGCTGAGGAACCTCCCCAACCCGCTCAGATTCACCGATACAACCATTGAACCTCCTCCCCCACTGGCCTGTGCCATGGGGGCGTGTCGGAGGAGGCCCAGATGGGACATCGAACATCGAGGATAAGCGAGGCAGAATGGAGGAGAAGATGGAGGAGGCGGGAACGGAACAGCACGGAACGATTGCGCTCCTGAGCATTGGTTCCTGCTTGGTAGCTTCGCTGCCCTGCAAACAGAGGCATGTAAAGATCTTCGAGTAGCTCGGGGCTATATCCTGCAGCCTCGCTGGGGAGTGTCGGGAGGCGGGAGGATGATGAGGAGTAAGCAGGAGAAGGGAAGCATGGAGCCTTGGAGACCTGCAGACTGCCTCGAGGGGGCTCCCCTCGCTCGCCACACCGGGCGCGTCACGAAGCAGGGGAAGGCAGGCAAGCACATAGACGAGGCGTAGGGAGGACGATTACAAGGACGATTACAAACTAGCAACACATCCCGCTGATATGCTGCTGGCGGAAATGGGTTATCTTAACCCTTGCGACGCACTGTGCGCCGTGGCTGCCGGGGGGCGTTGGGGGTGCCATCAGGCCACACAGCCTTACCCTTCGTTGAGGGGACCTCCCAACGCTGAATTTTGTTCAAAGCCTTTTGTCCTGCTGGGACGAGGCGAAGGGAGGAGGAAGGAGGAGGCGGAGGGGCGGAGGGCAGCTCAGGCTCCCGGGGAACTGGGGCAATAATCAGGGGGGGGGGGCCAGCCGGCGCCAGGCCGCAGCCCTGGTGGGCATGCGCTGTCGTGGCGCCACCGCTCCAGGACGTGCATGGCCTGCCGCGCGCCGTCCATCGTGCTCCCTCGGCGTCGTCAACGTCGTCGTTGTCGAAGTCGGGGTCGTCCTCCTCCTCCTCCTCCTTCTCCTCCTCCTCCTCCTCCTCCTCCTTCCTCCTCCTCCTCCTCCTTCCCCTCCCTCCCTCCAGCATCCTTTTGCTTATGAGCAGCTCTCTCCTGTCGCACCACCAGGCGACTCGAAGCACAAGGCTTGGCGGATCGCTTGGCACTTCCTTCCAACATGTGGAACCCACAGGCTAACCAACTCCAACATTTACACATATGAAGGGGGCCACGGGCATTCAAAATGTGGTCCTCGCCTCAGCGCCGAGCACATTCGTCTTCAAACCAGCAATACCTAAAGGGATTGAGGGCCGATGGTTGTTAAAATGCGGCTCTCGTCTTGAAATCAGCAACGGCTACACGGGTGGAGGGCAACATGTGTTCAAAAGTGGGGCTCTCCTATGAGACGTCCTCGAGCTCTAGAAACCGATGTTCTAAGGCGTATCACCAGTAAACCCACGGGAGGTGGCATTCCGCAGACTACGCAACAACAGATCTAACATGGGTCACAATCAAATTGCTGGTGAAAGCATACCGTGTCAACAAGGCGATCGCTGGAATAGGCCTCTTGTTGGACCAAAAAACAAACGACACCACCCCACCTACGGCCCCACGGGCCGTACCGTTTGCACGGACATGGGGCGTGGGTTTTTGCATGGTATACGCTACGGCCCCCGACGAGCCGTAGCGCGACATGGAGGGCCGCAGGTGGGGTGGTGTCGTTTGTTTTGCTGGCCGATCTAGTGTCAATATTAGGTAGAAAGACGGGGGGTCCTTTAGAACACGGGGGGGTCTCTTGAGTGGCACGCCCACCAGGGGCTCGTCACTTAAGGGGGGCGCTTCCCACAGTGGAAAGGAACACTTGTAGTGACGTTCGTGAAGGAGCTTTGGGACGGGAGGGTGTACTGCAGCAGGGTTCGTGCATCCTGGATGTATTCAATTCCTTCTTCACCGCCTTCTTTTACTCGTCCTCTCTCACCCCCCCTTGCTTCCTCCTCAGCATGAAGGAAACGGCGGGTCCTGTGGCAAACAAGTCCTAGACCCCGGAGCCTTCTTCAAGGACCAGCTCTTCGTCCTGCGCCGTTTTTTCGGACGCTGGGGCCCTTCGAGGGCCCCAGGAGCCAAAACACTGCAAAAAAACAGAACTTGCTTCCCGCAAGACCTGGTTCCTTCATGACGACTTACCCCTCCCTACTTCCTCCCTCCATCTCTCCCTCCTCCTCGTCCCTCCTACTCTCCCTCCTCCTCCCTCCTCCTCGTCCCTCCTCCTCCTCCTCCCTCCTCCCTCCTCCCTCCTCCCTCCTCTCTCCCTCCTCCTCGTCCCTCCTCCTCCCTCCATCTCTCCCTCCCCCTCGTCCCTCGAACCTCGCCGCCCGCGGACATAGCGGTCCTGGCGGCTCTGCCGGGACCTCCCGCAGCCCAACTGTCCCCATGGGCTCCGCTGCTGCCGCGGGCCGGCATCCACCTAAAGCTGGCCCGAGGTGTGCGACTCGTCCTTCGTATTCCTCAAACTCGGTGCGCCACCGCCGCAATCCTGGCGTGGCCTGCCGCTCGCCGCCCGCCCGCCCGCCGATACCCTCGCGAACGCTCGCGCGGACTGGGCGGCTGCGTCACGAGAGAGCGCCGCCTTGTGGGGGGTCGCCTCGGCGCTGTTCTCTGTGCTCCGCGGAAGAGCTCGCCGGTGCCGAGCTCCCCTCGCAAGCAAAACACAACTCTCGGGGACAGAACCCCCTCTAGCAAAACGTGGTTCAGTGAAAACGACCTCGGGCCCAAACCTGGCGGCGCAAGCCTGGAAAATGACGGCCGCGGCGCCCTCGCGAGGACCGAAAACGGACAATTCACTGATCGACGTGTCGGGGTGGGGCTTCTGTCCGCCCCCGAGCTCTGGGCCGACGAGCCGCCACGGGCCACCACGCCCTCCCGAGCAGGCAGCTCAAGGCCATGGCTGAAGGGGCCCTGGGACACGCGAATAGATACAAACAAATAAAAGGATTCCCCCTATTTCCCCATATTTTCTGGGTTTTTGTCTTCCCCCCCCCCACTTCGCATATTTTCCCATACCTTCCTGGGGGTCGACGATTACTTGCGTCTGTGTGTTTTTCCCTCCTGAATGGCGTGCTCCGCCCGCAGAGCCGCGGAGCCCGGGCGCCGCCCGCGCGCGCGCGTCTGTGTGCCCATGCGAGCGCTTCCTATGGCCCGTGGACAGCGCCCAGGCAGCTCAGAGGCAGCGCTCCTCATGACGAACCAACAGCACACACCCATACCCGGATGGGGGTCCCCGCTCGAACGGGAGCGTTCCCCAGGGTCCGACAACCCGCACCCATACCCATAGCGAGTCCTCCTCCACACGACCGCCCTTCTGGGTATGGGTGCGTGTTGTTCGTTCGTGACCTCAGGCTCGTGGGCCGCAGGGCAGGCTCCCCCCGCAGGCCGCGAAATTCCTTGACTCTTCACTGGACCCTCCTCCCCGGCGCGCGGAGCGCGCCAGGGGCGGCGCCGGAGGCGTCGCGGTGGGTGGCCCAGCGCGGATCCAAGAAATCCGCGGTGAGCGCTACAAGTTTATGTTTACGGCGTTTATTCTTCTTCGACCCGTTCCTCCCACCGTTCCTCCCCCTCGTCAACTTTCGTCCCGTTCTCGTCGACGCACCGCTGAAGTGCGTGCACGGCCTATCGCGGGCCAGCCCAGCGGCACCCCGCGACCGCTCTCTGGCGGGCCTGGGGCGCAGGCCTGCGCACCCGAGCGCCGAGCCGCGCCCAGCCCCCTCCTCGCGGTCGTCGTCGCTGTATTCCTCCTCCTCCTCCTCCTCCTCCTCCTCCTCCTCCTCCTCCTCCTCCTCCTCCTCCTCCTCCTCCTCCTCCTCATCATCATCATCATCATCATCATCATCATCATCATCATCATCATCATCATCATCATCATCATCATCATCATCAGCATCAGCATCAGCATCATCATCATCATCATCATCATCATCATCATCATCAGCATCATCATCATCCGTCTCTCCCTCGCCCTCCTGCTGCTGGTCCCCATCCTCATGCTGTCTTCCTCCTCCTCCTCCTTCCTTCCTCCTTCCTCCTTCCTCCTTCCTCCTTCCTCCTCCCTCCTTCCTCCTTCCTCCTTCCTCCTTCCTCCTCGTCCTCCGCGTCCTCCTGCTCCTCCGACCCCCTGTTGCTCCAAGCGGCTCGGCGATCGCACTGGCGCGCTCGCGATCCCCCCCTGTGGCGGCGCGGGATGGCGGGCCCCAAGGACTGCCTCTCACCCCGCGTCGCTGTTCGACGGCGCCTGGGAACAGTGGGGGGGGGGGGGGGGGGGCAACGCCGAGGCCAAAGGCCATGGAACTCCTCGGTGGGCCGCGGAGAACACGAACGCACAGGCGCGCACTCGGCGGCGCGCCTGGATGGGCAGCGAGAGCGAGCAGGCCTTCTCAGGAGGCGGCGGGGCGACTCCGGCGCCCTCTGGCCTTCTGCGAAGCCGCCCGTGCCCTCGGAGGAGGCTCCGAACGCTTTCCTCAGAGGGCCCGAGGCCTCCCGAGACCTCTGAGAAGGCCCGCCCCTCGGACTTCCATCCCAGGCTCCCCGCCGATGCATGGCTGGTTGGTGACATCGACCTCCACGAGGGCGCCCGACGACGTGCCGGGGTGGCACGGGGGCAGGAGGAGGAGGAGGAGGAGGAGGAGAAGGAGGAGGAGGAGGAGGAGGAGGAGGAGGAGGACGAGGAGGAGGAGGAGGAGAAGAAAGAGAACGAGGAGGAGGACGAGAAGAAAGAGGAGGAGGAGGAGGAGGAGGAGGAGGAGGACGAGGAGGAGGAGGACGGGGTGGGGGTGGGGCGCAGAAGGGCACCGCCCAGACTCCGCGTGCCCCCACTCCTTGGGGGGATGGAGGGGGGGGGGGCGGGGGCGGCGCCGCCGCCGCGCGAGGGCCGCCTCGTCTCGCCCCTCCGGCCGCGGAGCCTCCGAGCCGTCGGGCAGGGGCGGCGGCGGCGGCGCCGAGGGCGACGGCGCGGCACTGCCCGGAGCACGCCTCCACGCCGACCCCGCCGAGGAGCGCGGCGGGCACAGCGCACTTCGGGACCAGCCTCCTCCTCCTCCTCCTCCTCCTCCTCCTCCTCTCCTCCTCCTCCTCCTCCTCCTCCTCCTCCTCCTCCCTCCCTCCTCCCTCCTCCCTCCTCCCTCCTCCTCCTCCTCCTCCTCCCTCCTCCCTCCTCCGTCCCTCCTCCCTCCTCCTCCTCCTCCTCCTCCTCTTCCTCCTCCTCCTCCTCCTCCTCTCTCCTCCTCCTCCTTCTCCTCCTCCTCCTCCTCCTCCTCCTCCTCCTCCTCCTCCTCCTCCTCCTCCTCCTCCTCCTGCGCCGCGCTCCGTGATGGCCCCGGCTGAGACGGCGCGGCGGGGGCGCGGGGAGGAAGAGTGGGAAGGAGCAGGCAAGGAGGATTCTGGGCCACCTCACTCTGCGCATCGCGCCCCGCGATGCGCGGATACCTTCGCGCCCTCGCGCCGCCCCCTGGAGAGAGGTAACCAAGAACTCAAGCCGCGATGCGCGAAGCGCGACTATCTTCGCGTCCCTGGGGGTGACCTAGAAAGGCTCGAGCCGGCTCGAGAGCAAGAGAGACCCCATCCATGGTGATCTCCAGGGCCGCCTTCTCAGAGCAGGGGAGGCGGCTCGACCGTTGGGTCGAACACGACGCGGGATGAGCGGCAGGACTATAGTAGGGGCCCGACCACAAGAAACTTCCCACAAGAAAACCAACCCTGAGACGCCAGGGCGTCCATCGATTTTGGTGTGGGAACGTTACGCTGTCCACAGCAAAACCCTCGAAACCCAAGAAACCCAGGGCACCCTGGATGCGAGCAGGGTGTTTCTTGGCATGAGCCCCCACTATAGGAAGGTGGGGCGAGAGAGGCACGCGGGAGGGAGACGCAGGGGCGGTGGCCTGCTCCAGCTGGTAATTCCACATCAGCGCCACGGCACTGTGGTAGGCGTCGCGCGGGGAGAGGTCCGACAGGACGTCGTCTGCGCCTACCTGAGGAAAGATCTGCAAGACCAGAGCTGTGGACAGGTGCCCCCCCTGAAAACAATAACAAAGACAACAAAGACAACACCACCACCACCACCACCACCACCAAACACAACAACAACAACAACAACAACAACAACAACAACAACAACAACAACAACAACAACAACAACAACAACAACAACAACAACAACAACAACAACAACAACCACAACCACAGCCACAATCACAACCACAACCACAACAACAATAAAATAACAACAAGGTAAGGCCGGGTTCCTGCTGCCCTGCCCCCCAGGGTGTTAGGTTTCGGGCCTTCCCAACAACACCAGCAACAACAACAGCTCCCGCACGAAACTCCTCAAAAGTGATTCCAACATCGTGCTCTCGCGCAGGACTTCCTTACAATGTATGCAGGAATCGCGATCTCGCATGGAAGTTCCTTAGAATTTGTTCCTGCGCCGCGCCATCGACAGTCAGCAATCACACTCTCGCGCTGGCCTCACTTTTTGCCTGGGAATCGCGCTATCGCTGGACACCTCCTCGCGATTCATGCAGGACTCACGCTTCAACAACCCGCCTGCTCGACCTGGCCGCCTGGGCCCACTTTCCCGACCCGCCCGTTAGGGTCTATCCGCCCAAGCTGCCCGTCTGGTTCTGCCACGTGCACGTGCTTCCCGCTCCAAACCACCCTTCTGCTAATCTCTCTCGTGCTCCATACTTCTCCCTCCCCCTTTGTCAACTCCTTCCATGCGTCCTCTCCTCCCGTGTTTCACGGGCTGCGGCGACTACTCGTTTAGGTGAGGAAGATCACCCCCGAGGGGGTTACGATGGAAAACGAAGAAGGCGGGTATCGAGCGTTTGGCATGTGCATGTTGCATGGTACGCGAGCAGGTAAGAACGAACAATCATTGACATGATTATTGCTGGTGCTGCTGCTGTGCACTTTTTACCAGGGGCACAAGTCCAAGGCGCAAGACAGATGCGAGCCCCAGAAGGGGCTCTGTAGTTGAGACAGCACAACAGTGCACTGGGCGGCGGGAACCAACAACGAGTACCCAGTAGAAGTGAAAACTCATCAATCAGTTCAATATTGGTCGCTTGCGTATGCTCGGTCTTCATGAAACATGTATATCCCAAACCCTCGAAATCCGCCCTTGTCGCCAGTCTCTTCGTGGTGCCCTCGATGCGAGCCTTCTCTGCGCGCTCACCCTCGGGCGGCGCGTCGCCTCGGGTCTCGACGTCCGCAGCGCTGGGGGCTGCCGCGACCATGGCCGCCGCCGCCGTCG